GTGCATCATTTCTAATTGTATTTCTTTTCTGTATTGAAATGTGATGTTTGAGATTTGTAAATTTTTATTTTCGTAATTCCATTGCTAAGGGACTAGCAATGATTTAAGTTGGGGGGTGTGATAAGTCTTCATTATCATGAGTTAATAATCAGTAAATAATATAGTTTTAGCCTTAACTCATGATAAATAGACTTATATTTGTGTTAAAGCATGAAAAGTGGTTTTCAGTTGATTAACGTGAATTTTTGGGTAATTATGTGATTTTATACGATTTTTACAGTCTTAGTTTTGAGATAAATGAAGAACAAGAAATAAAAATAAAAATATTGCAAAATGGGGGGATCCGCCGGCCAGCCGGGCCCGCAAGCGGGTCGGAAGCGCAGTCGGGGAGTAGCCGCGAGCAGGGGCTCGAGCGGCTTGCTTGGATCGATAGGGGCACGTGTGCGCCACTCCCCTTCCACGTCACCGGTGGTCAGCCGGCTGTGGGGCAAGGAGTGGTCGTACACGCGAGAGGACTTTGCCTAGAAAGCTAACTTTACTATATTCGCCCGAATAATCCGCGCACAACCGATGTGGGACTAAATCCACCTTGTAAGGGGCGGGCGACCGCCGCGGGTTCGAATCCTCCCAGAGTCAAAATTCATATATTTTTAACTGATTATCGCGACTTTCCTGCAGATCGCCGGTGAAGGATTAAGCAACCGGAATCGCTGGATCATCGGCGAAAATCTCGTCAACGCGATTCGCGGAGCATTGCTACTAAAATTTCTGAACGATTCGCGATAAAAGGATCGCAATCCATCGAGTAAATCATCTCCGATTGATCGACGAACAAGCCGTCGTCGGGAAGAGGACGATCCGCCGGGAGACCAGTCGCCACCTCCTGAGAGCGTACCAGATGCGATGAAGAGCCTCCTCTTGCTGCGCGGACCTGAGGATGAAGCTCCCTAACACGCGCCTCACCTCCATCCAGCCCCTCTCCGTCGGGTGACAGCCGCCGGAGAGCCGCAAAGTCGCCGTTTTTCCGCTCCGCCGGGTGACAGCCGCCGGAGACGATTCGACGACCCACTTCATTGGTCTCTAGACTTCGCGAGAAGATCTAGAGATTACCCACGTCGTCTTTGTCCAAGGAGAGCCTTCGAGGCCGTGGACACTGCACGACGACCCTCCCGAACGCTCAGGATTCCGGTGCATCGCCGACGCGTCGCCGTCGCGACGCCGGAACTCTGTTTTCCTGCTTTATCTAGAGATTGCCCACGTCGTCTTTGTCCAAGGAGAGCCTTCGAGGCCGTGGACACTGCACGACGACCCTCCCGAACGCTCAGGATTCCGGTGCATCGCCGACGCGTCGCCGTCGCGACGCCGGAACTCTGTTTTCCTGCTTTCAATTTAATTTACGCTTCATTTAGTGATACTTTGTTGATTTTTATTTACCAAACTATACTTCGTTCAACTACGATTCTTCCGGCTTTTACAGATCTTAATTTGATTAATTGAGTCGTCTGTAATCGCCTACGTAAGAATCGCCGGGCGGAACTGTGTTTCCGCCTGATTCGCGTTCGCCGGGCGCTGACGTCATCCTGACGTCCGCACCCTTATTTCCTTTTTTTTCGTGAATTTTAAATATATTTCCTTTTTATTTCCTAGTATAAAATTCGTAAGAAAATCGTACTCATTGAGAAAAATTCTGAATAATTACCAGATATTATATTACATCCCTGTGATCGACCTGGAAAATTACCGCTATTTTTGGAATTTTTATTGAATTATAATTGATATATTTATTTAGAAATACTTCTAAATATCCGAAAATTCGTATTTTCTAGTTTTATAAATTTTATATTTGCGTGATTTAACATACAACGACTGAGTCACGTCAGGATTCAAGACTTTTTTCTCTTCAAATTGTCTATTAACTTTTCATACTTTTCTAATTTTAATATGTGATTGATAAGTCTTCATTATCATGAGTTAATAATTAATAAATAATATAGTTTTGACTTTAACTCATGATAAATAGACTTATATTTATGTTAAATTATGAAAATTATTTTTTACTTGATTAATGTGATTTTTGGCTAATTATATGATTTTATGTAAATTTATATGATTTTTATAATCTTATTTTTTAGATAAATAAAGAAAAATAAAAATTAAAAAAAAAATAAAAAAAATGAGGAGACTCGTCAACCAGCTGAGTCCACAAGTAAGTCGGAAGCATAGTCAGGGCATAGCCACGAGTAGGGACTTGAGCAATTATAAACCGATGGGGACACATGTGTGTCACTCCCTTTTCACATCATCGGTGGCCAACTAATTGTGGGGCAAAGAATAATTGTACATACATGAGAAAAGTACTCATTACTTCTAAATGTGGTATTATTATATATTTGTCCAAAATCGTAGTATAATTAATGTAAGACTAAACTCACGTCACACCTTTCCTAAAATGATGTTGATTATTTTAATATCTAAAATATTTCTTAGTTATAACACTAATATATTATGATGATATCACTTTATAAGGGTATTAGAGTACTCATTTCACTTTCTATTATATAAGTAGGTGAATAATAGGGGTTTAGTTTCTACTAGAGTTAAAACTCATATTTTTATCTAATTAAATCGTGACTTTTTTAGAGATTGTCGGTGTAGAATTAAGTTGACAAAATCGCTTGATCATTGGTAAAAATCTTGTCAACGTGATTCATAAAATATGATTACTAAAATTGTTGAATGATTCGTGATAAAAAGATTATAAATTTATTGAGTTAATCATCTCCGATTGATCGACGAATAAACTATTGTCAAAAAGAAGACGATCTACTAGTAGATGAGTCACCACCTTCTGAGAGCATACTAGATGCGATGAAAAGACTCTTCTTATTGCGTGGGCTTGAAGATGAAGTTTCTTGACATGTGCCCTACCTCCATCTAATTCTTTTTTGTCGGGTGATAGACATCGAAGAGTCATAAAGTTATCATTTTTCTGCTCTACAAGGTGACAATCATTAGAGAGCCGTAAAATTATATTTTTTCTACTCTACAAGGTGACAATTGTCAAAGGTGATTTGATGACTCATTTTATTGATATATAAACTTTGTAAGAAAAATTAGAGATTATTTACGTTGTCCTTATCTAAAGAGAGCCTTTAAAGTTGTAGACATTAAATGATAGTTTTTACAAACGCTCAAAATTCTGATGTGTTGTCAATGCATTGTCGCCACGATGCTGAAACTCTATTTTTCTAACTTTTAACTGAATTTTTACTTTATTTAGAGATAATTTGTGTGATTTATTTTTTTAAAACTACTTTTCATTTAATTATGATTCTTTTTACTTCTATAGATTTTAATTTAACTAATTAAATCATCTATAATTGCTTACGTAAAAATCACTAAATAGACCTCTATTTCTTTTTTTTGTAAATTTTAAATATATATATATATATATTATTTTTTTATCTAAAATTTATACAAAATCTTATTATTTGTAGAAAACTTTAAAATATTACTAGATATTATATTACATCTTTGTGATTGACCTTACTTTTTTTATTATTTTAAAACTTTTATTAAATTATAATTGATTTATTTATTTAGTAATACTTTTAAATATTCAAAAATTAGTATTTTCTAATTTTATAAATATTAAATTTATATAATTTATTATACAAATATTTTATTTTCAATTTTATATAATTTAGTGATGGGCATGCAGGGATGCCGCCGGCCCCAGTCGCTGTCGCTGACAGTATTGATGAGCCTGCAGGGAACACGTGCTGTGCCCGACAACTGTCCCTCTGTGCCATACAAGATCTCATCGAGTCAATTTCATACTCGGGCTGGGATCAGCGAATGGTGGCCGATAGAAAAGGCCTCTGGATAAGAGAGGGGAAGAACTAACGGTCACCCTCTCTTCCTCTAATGGGGGCCGATGGTGAGCTGGAGTGAGAGGATGCCGTCTCACCGAGACTTGGAGAGACAAGGCCTTTGTCTGGATCGATTGGCATCGGTCAGGCACTGTTTATATGGATCCTCAGGTTGACCCATTCGTAGGAATACCAAGCAGTAACTTTTTGAATTGCCATTACTGACAATGCACATTTGGTAATACCAAGTGGCAAAACCCCTAGTAGATAATAGACCGCTTCGCAAGTATGGTCAATGAGCGCATTAACTTTTAGATTTCAACAATTTCTGCAGTGCATTTCAATCACGTGCGCGTAACAATAGAATCGGATATTTTAAATAAATGGCATGGCTTGAACCTTATCCTCGAGTCCGGCATCTTTGAGAAGCACGTATCCGATTTCGATTGGTCGGCACCTCTGGATGCCACAGGTGAGAGATATCTGCTCATCGTGGGGACCATAGATTCGGCTGTCGTGGAGAACGACCTCCCCCATTTTCTATGCCTGGTTTAGAAAATTAGGGGCAAAATTACGGCGCATATCCAGGAAAGATACAGGACTGCCCACGGTGCATTATTCTATGGAGTCGCCCCGCCCCGACTTCGGATGGACGATTCTTCCTAACCAAAAATCATAAGCTCGTAGACGGGATTTTAAATGATTTTACCCTAATGCTAATAGGGTTGATCTGATGAATAGAGCATTTGGTGGAACGGTTTATAAATTTTATCAACACGAGGCCCAATTCTTTAAGAGGACGGTACGTTCTCAAATTTTCAAGAACTTGCGCAGAGCGCTTCACGAAAGTCACGCGCACTGTTTCGTTCCTGCGCTGGATGCCTCGTTCCCCGCGCCGCTTCGTACGGACCCACTAGCCTCGCACGTTGCGCGTAGACTGGGCTCCAGAGCTTTACTGTATCCCCACTAGTGCGACCTTTTTGTTACTCGTTTTCCAACACGTGTGAAGGTGCCAAGTCCGCCGATTAGCGCTCCTCGATGTGCTCCTGTTCCTACAAGTACCTCCTTCACTCCCCCCCCATCACCTCGAGTTTTCCTTCAAAGTTGGGAGAGGAGAAGAGAGAGAGAATGAGAGAGATGCTGTCTGCGGCAGTTGTGACGATACTCCTAGTCGCCTTCGAGGGCTGTGGCGTCGCGGCGAGGTCTGAGCCACAGCCATCGGTCATCATCGTCGGCGCCGGCATGTCCGGTAAGCTGCCGCGGAGGTGCCCTAGTACCTTACGTCGCGTCATGGAAGTAACGTATCGTCCGACTATATGTCGCAGGCATATCGGCGGCGAAAACGCTTTCGGAGGCCGGGATTAAGAACATACTCATACTCGAGGCCACAAACCGTATCGGTGGCCGGATTCGCAAGGCTAAGTTTGCTGGCCTCAACGTGGAGATCGGTGCAAACTGGGTCGAAGGAGTCAATGGCCAGGAGGTGAACCCGATATGGACCTTGGCCAATAAACTACGCCTTAGATCTTTCCTCTCAGAGTTCGGTAACCTTTCATCGAACGTCTACCAGTAAGCATCATCAGCTCCTCCTCTTCCTCCTTTTCCCGACTGTCTTCACACTTGTACTATTGTGAAACATCATTCTAAGACTTGTTAACTACTCAGGACTGGGTTATACGAGGCCTCTACGGCTCAGAAAGTCGTGGACAACGCGGATAAGGTTGCGGAAGCCGCAGCAGAGTTTACAAAGTCCTTGTCTCAGAGTGGACAGGATGATATCTCCGTGTTAACCTTCCAACGACTCTCCCAAAGGTGGCCACTCTCTAGCATTCTCTAAATTTTGATTTCGTAAAGCGACGACCTTTTCAGTCTACTCTTATTCCTTATTTACCTTCACCGCCTTCGACCCATCATTTTTTCTCTCTGCGGCCAACCTAGCGTGCCCTCGACAGCGATAGATATGGCTGTGGACTACTTCAATCACGATTACGAGTTCGCCGAACCGCCGCGCGTGACTAGCCTTCAGAACACGGAGCCTCTCCCGACGTTCGCCAACTACGGGGAAGATGTGTACTTTGTGGCAGACCAGCGGGGTTATGAAAGCACGGTGTATCACTTGGCCTACCAATTCCTGGCTTCCGACGGCAAGGGCACCATCACTGACCCTCGTCTCAAGCTTAAAAATGTGAGTTCTTCACACATCGTTTTCTCTTCTTTCCCTCTCTCCTCCCCCCCCTCTCTGTCTGCCTCTCTCCTCTATCTTTTCTCTCACCCCACCCCTCTCTCTCCTCCATCTCTTCTCCCCCGCCTCTCTCTCTGCTCTATCCCTTCTCCCCCTTCTTTCTCTCCTCTATCTCTTCTCCCCCCTCCCTCTCTCCTCCCCCCTTCCTCTCTCTCTCCCCTCTCTCTTCGCTCCCCCCCTCTCTCTCCTCTCTCTTCGCTCCCCCCTCACTCCTCTATCCCTTCTCTCTTCTTTCCCTTTCTCTCTTATTTTCTTTTCTTCCCTCCCTCCTCTCTCCCTCTCTCGTCGATCTTCTCTTTCTCTGTCTCTCTGCCTCTCCCTTCTTTCAAGGCGTGAACTGTGTCACACGTTCCCCATCGTGCGGCGATGGTTCAAGGAGCGATGCTTCGTGAAACCGCTTTGAAGTTCATGGTCTAGGTTTTAAAAATAAAGGATTGAATTATTAGATATGAGCCTTATGAGATCCGATATATTATCGGTCCAATTTTCATGGAACAGGGCTTCAAAATATGCCGGCAAATAATTTTAAGTTTAGGCCAGTCCGATCTCCTATGGGTGAAACTTGGCCTTGATAGGGTCCATTCAGGAGATTGGCCCTTGAAGCTAGACTTGGTACCATAAACTATTACATTGTAGATAAGATTGTAAATACTTCTGAACTTTTAAATTATTCCGATCTTGCAATTTCATATTCAAAAGCTAACTTGTTGTTATCATCTGCTATAGGTGGTGAACCATATAGAGCATTCACAAAGTGGGGTGACCGTTAAGACAGAGGACGGTTCGACTTATACCGCTGATTATGTGATGGTTTCTGCCAGCGTCGGCGTCCTTCAGACTAATCTCATTAAGTTCCAACCAGATTTACCTGTAAGTTTTCTTTTTCTACTCTCACACAAGTATGGAGGAGGAGGGAGGAAGCAAGAGAGAGAGAGAGAGAGAGAGGGGGAGAGAGAGAGACAGGGGAGAGAGAGAGAGGGAGAGAGAGAGAGACAGAGGAGGGAGAGAGAGAGAGAGACGGGGGGGAGAGAGAGACAGGGGAGAGGGAGAGAGAGACAGAGGAGGGAGAGAGAGAGACAGGGGAGAAGGAGAGAGAGAGACAGGGGCAGGGGAGGGAGGGAGAGACAGGGGAGGGAGAGAGAGAGACAGGGGAGAAGGAGAGAGAGACAGGGGAGAAGGAGAGAGAGAGACAGGGGAGAGGGAGAGAGAGAGACAGGGGAGGGGGAGAGAGAGACAGGGGAGAGGGAGAGAGAGATGGGGGGGGGGGAGAGGGAGGAAGGGAGAGGGTGGATTTGTTGATAAACGAAAGAGCTACACTTCTATCCAATAAGAATCGAATTTGCGCTTAATCTTTTTGGCGGGTTTATTTTTCATATGGCTGAATAATCTGTGGCTTCCAGACGTGGAAGATCCTTGCCATCTATCAGTTCAGCATGGCAGTGTACACCAAGATCTTCGTCAACTTCCCTTCCAAGTTCTGGCCCAGCGGTAATGGAACAGAGTTCTTCCTCTATGCAAGTGAGAGGAGGGGTTACTATCCAGTCTGGCAGGTATCGACCTGACCTTTCTCTCAGATGATAGGCATCCATAGATGCATACGTATGTTTCATGTATGGTAGAAGCGAAATGGAGCTAATCTATTGTTTCTGTGGCTACAGCAATTCGAATCTCAGTACCCCGGAGCCAACGTCCTCCTCGTGACGGTCACCGATGAGGAGTCGAGAAGGATCGAGCAGCAGCCGGATTCAGTGACGAAGGCTGAAATCATGGAGGTATTGAGGAACATGTTCGGAAAGAATATACCTGAGGCCACAGACATACTCGTCCCGAGGTGGTGGTCTGACCGGTTCTACAAAGGAACATTCTCAAATTGGCCGATTGGAGTCAGCAGATACGAATACGATCAGATCAGGGTATCTTCTCATTTTCTCCTAAGGATATATTGAATTGTATGGTAAAAAATTATCCAATTATTTTTCGGAAGCAGCTGGGATGATTCAGCTCCTTCTTCTTGTCTTATTTCAATAATGGGAAAAGGCTCCTGTGGGAAGGGTTTACTTCACCGGCGAGCACACAAGCCAGCATTACAATGGATATGTCCACGGCGCCTATCTCTCAGGTTTCTATATAATGAGTTATTTCCAGATTATATGCACACGTCTTCGTTACGGTTTATTGTTTTGCCTTCTCGGTGATGACCGGAACCGATTTTCCTTAGGTGTGGATTCTGCGTTCATGTTGATTGGCTGCATCAAGTATGGATCCTGCGATGTGGAAACCGATCCCAAAGCTTAGTGTTTCAGAGTTGCAAGATCTTTCTCCCTATGCACAAATCGTTTGAGTGCTTGCGCAAAAGTTGTGCGTGTCACTTCATCTGCTTGGAGTATAAGGCCATTTGGTAGATGAGTCCTAGTTACTTTCTTGTCTCATGTTTGGTTTTAAAAGTTTTCTACTTCTTATGTCTCGTGCTCACGAAGTGACTTGTTTTTAATATCTTGAACAATTGTTACTGGATAAGTTGATATTACGTATATTAGTATTTAATTATGCAACCAGTGCAACAAACATAAAATCTTGATGTTTACCTTATAAAATGCAAACATAGAAATAATTATCTCTAGATACAAAATAAAAATAAACTCCTTGAACTAGGTTAATATGGAATGATTGTGTGCAATTGTCTCTCTCTCTCTCTCCTTTTTTTCATATATAAGAATTTAAGCCATATTCAACTTTACTCATGTATATATATTTAGTGGTAAGTTGTGAGTATCATGGTTGATTGGTTGCTCAAAATTGTCATAATTAAAGAGTGATAAAACTAAAATTTATAATATTCAGATGTCTTTTGAATGATAATGATGGAATTTTTGATGAAGAATTAGATGTGAAGATGGAAAAAGATTAACTAAGACACAAAAGAGAAGAAGGGACTAAACCTAAATTGTTGACTTCTCAATCAACAATTCATGAGTAATTAAAAAATCAAGAGATTATTAAATTCAGTTCATGAGTTGAATTAGTAAAGTTCTAATGTGCAGCACTAAATTCCCACCTCTAGATCACTCTATGTCACTTCAGATATCAATACAAAGGTTGAGGGAATCTTAAACCACTTCTAACCTTGTACAATCTCCTCTCTTAAAAATGTGATCTACCTTGACTTACTTAACAAGGAAATAAGGGATCATAAGAGATAGAAATCGAATTTAGTGTCTACTCTAATCAATGTGATATATCTTATTAGATTATAGGCCAGATTAATCTTTGATAGATCAAGATATTATGAAACCTAAAAGAATAAAGAAGGTAAATGAATGGTGGATAAAGATCAAGTTTTCACTAATAAGTCTTAATTATTATGAGTTAATGATTAATTATTAATATATTTTAAGCCTTAACTTACAATAAAAATACTTATATGTGTTCAATTGTGAAAAATGATTTTAGTTAAGTAATATTAATTTTGATTAACTATGTAATTTTATGTGAATTTATATAATCTTATTTTTGAGATAGACAAACAGAAATAAAATAAAATAAAAAGATTGAAAAAGAAGAAAACCCACTAGCTAATTGGGTCAACAAGTAGGTTGGAAGTATAGTTCAGTAGAGCCATGACTAGAAGGCTAAAGTGGCTAAGAGATTGGTAGAAGACACATGAGCATCATTCTCCTTCTACTCACTAATAGTCAAAGAGTGGGGTAAAGAATGGTTATACACACGATAAAAAAATATATCCATTCCCAAATCTTGTAATACTATATATATGTCGTAAAACTCAAAAAATAATTAATGTGAGACTAAACTACTTATCAAAAAAAATTCAATGATTTTTGTACCTAAAATATCCTTATTTATGAGAAGTAAATACCTAAAGTTTCATACCATTTTCACAAAATTTAAATGTATTTTATCTTCACTATTGAGTCTAATAATTATAAAATTATATTTTTACATAAAATTATAAAGTAGTACTTGATATTATATTACATCATTGTGATCGACCTGATTTTTTTAACATTTTAAAAACTTTTAAAAACTTAAAATATAATTAATATATTTATTTAAAAATACTTTTAAATGTCATAAAATTAACATTATTTAGTTTTATAAATATTTAAATTTACAAGATTTATTGTACAATGATTGAGTCACATCACTCACCTAATGTCACAGCTAGGCAAATACCTTAATCATGATCCCTAACAATTTTGACTAAGATCGAACAAAGAGAATCACTAGAATGAGGATGAAAAGAACAAAACTTCTTGAATAAAACATGAAATCAAATGACAATGCAATTTAATTGCATCTTGTTTTTCTAATTGGACGTGTGATTGGATTCCTCCTCAGAAGTTCTTCAACTTGCCTCCAGAGGTTGAGTTCTTAAATAACATCTTATCTTCCTTTTGGTTGCTCCTCTCCTAAGTGTAAAATGCTCATATCTCTCCTCTAAGTGACCTTTTTTTTCTCCCCTTTGTTGTGTACTCATTCTCAATCCTTAGACTGATGTAGGACGGGGTGAGAACCCTTGTACTTGATCAATGAAACTCAAGACCCGAGATGGGGCAATTAGACCGATCCAATAAAAATGTTTGGACTTTAGACTCTAGGTCTGACCACCTAACCTAAGTATAGGCAGGCATATCAATATGTATTATCAACCCAAGACAATTCGGGAAAACACTTGACGATGGTAAGTGTGAGACCCTCTCGGTCCACGTCTAGACAGACGGCAGAATGATCGTCGTGAAGTAGCCTAGGGCTGCAGCTCACGAATGATGACGAGTCTAACGCAGCATCATAAGTCTTATCTTGTTTACGTTCTCCAAATGTCAGTGGAAATAAGTTGAGAATATCCTTCGAAAGATAATTAAACTTAAGTAAGAAGAGGTATGGAGCTAACCTTTGGGGCTGCATAGCCCGACGGGTCGTGATGGAGTGGAGACTCGACATAAGTAGAGATGCTCGGTGAAGAGCGATGCTCAACATCGATAGTTGGTCCTAGTCAAGAGTCGTAGTAGTCGTCGCCGTAAGGCGTGGCGCGGTCGGTGTGGGCATGGGCCTGCCGGTGGGCCGAAGGGCATGCTAGCGGGCATGCGCAGCAAGCCGCATAGCGTGCCTTGGGGCACATGAGCAGCGGTGCCGAGTGAGCGTGTGGGCCGCAAAGTTGGCACGCGGGGCACGCGCGGCGGTGGCGCTTCGGTGGGAATGCCGAGCATCAGCAGTTGGGCGGAAGCCCAACCATCATCGAAAGGATCAGCCTTCTCTGGTGGCACCGGGAAGCGGAGTAGAGGAAGGAGACGATCCCGGCTGATGATACTAGGGAGGGTTGAGCCCTCCTGGTCTAGGTGGCGTCAGAAATGGCGCAACGGCAGTGGATCGTCGGGAAACTCTAGTGGGGGCCTATGCAGAGCTTGGACTGGATCTGGCTCGTCGGCACGGCTGCAGGGTCTCTCCCAACGTCGGCGACAGGTAGGCATTCGTCGGCGAACGGCTAGTGACTGGGCGGAGTGGCGGATGGCGGCTTCGGCGAGTTTATGGTGGAGTTCTAAAGGGAGAGGGGGCAGTCGAACTAGGAGTCAAGAGACTCCAGCAGAGTGCTTGGCGACGACTCGTAGGGAGGCAAAGTAAGCCCCTGTTGTCACGATGGTGTGACAGGGTTCCAGCAGAGGCGGCGGCGGTTGCAGCGGCAATTGCGACCATTTTGTCTGATGATGGCGGTGATCTCACGAGCAGCAATGAAGATGTCCGGCAGTGGCAATTGGTCTTAGGCGGCGGTGGGACTTCTTAGGCAGCAGCGTCACAATGAACGAAGTCCTCAAAGGGTATCGACGGCCTTCCTCTCCCTCCTTCCCTCCCTATCCTAGGTCATGAAGAAGGTAACTCACAAACGATAATCTCTCACAAAATTTGGTGCTTCCTGTTGAGGGGGGGTGACGTGACTCAGTCGTTGTATATTAAATCACGCAAATATAAAATTTATAAAACTAGAAAATACGAATTTTCGGATATTTAGAAGTATTTCTAAATAAATATATCAATTATAATTCAATTAAAATTCCAAAAATAGCAGTAATTTTCCAGTCGATCACAGGGATGTAATATAATATCTGGTAATTATTCAGAATTTTTCTCAATGAGTACGATTTTCTTACGAATTTTATACTAGGAAATAAAAAGGAAATATATTTAAAATTCACGAAAAAAGGAAATAAGGGTGCGGGCGTCAGGATGACGTCAGCACCCGGCGAACGCGAATCAGGTGGAATAGAGTTCCGCCCGGCGATTCTTACGTAGGCGATTACAGACGACTCAATTAATCAAGTTAAGATCTGTAAAAGCCGGAAGAATCGTAATTGAACGAAGTATAGTTTGGTAAATTAAAATCAACAAAGTATCACTAAATGAAGCGTAAATTAAATTGAAAGCAGGAAAACAGAGTTCCGGCGTCGCGACGGCGATGCGTCGGCGATGCACCGGAATCCTGAGCGTTCGGGAGGATCCTCGTGCAGTGTCCACGGCCTCGAAGGCTCTCCTTGGACAAAGACGACGTGGGCAATCTCTAGATCTTCTCGCGAAGTCTAGAGACCAATGAAGTGGGTCGTCGAATCGTCTCCGGCGGCTGTCACCCGGCGGAGCGGAAAAGCGGCGACTTTGCGGCTCTCCGGCGGCTGTCACCCGACGGAGAGGGGCTGGATGGAGGTGAGGCGCGTGTTAGGGAGCTTCATCCTCAGGTCCGCGCAGCAAGAGGAGGCTCTTCATCGCATCTGGTACGCTCTCAGGAGGTGGCGACTGGTCTCCCGGCGGATCGTCCTCTTCCCGACGGCGGCTTGTTCGTCGATCAATCGGAGATGATTTACTCGATGGATTGCGATCCTTTTATCGCGAATCGTTCAGAAATTTTAGTAGCAATGCTCCGCGAATCGCGTTGACGAGATTTTCGCCGGTGATCCAGCGATTCCGGTTGCTTAATCCTTCACCGGCAATCTGCAGGAAAGTCGCGATAATCAGTTAAAAATATATGAATTTTGACTCTGGGAGGATTCGAACCCCCGGCGGTCGCCCGCCCCTGAACAAGGTGTGACGCGGGTTTAGTCCCACATTGGTTGTGCGCGGATTATTCGGGCGAATATATAGTAAAGTCCTCCACGTCTATGACCATTCCTTGCCCCACAGCCGGCTGACCACCGGTGACGTGGAAGGGGAGTGGCGCACACGTGCCCCTATCGATCCAAGCAAGCTGCTCGAGCCCCTGCTCGCGGCTTCTCCCCGACTGCGCTTCCGACCCG